CGGCAGCGTGGGGGCGGAGGGCTGCGGCATGCACCAGAACATGTGTGCCTGCCGCTCGCTTGGTGACTCCAGGGAGGGAGGGAGGAGAGGCGGGCCCTCCCTGGTCCTGCCCCACACTTCCCATCCCTGAGCCTCTGACCCCCAGCCTGGCTTTGTCACTGCCTCTCCCTGTGACCTTGGGCACATCCCTTCTCTCTGGTCAAAGAAGGCACACAGTCCCCCTGGCCTTCTGGGGTCTGTAATCTCCCCTGGTACTCCACAATGGGAGTCCACCAGGGCAGCACCCGGAGAAGCATGTGGCCCCCATTTTACAGATGAAAAGTTGAGACACACAAGATGGTATGGGATCCACCTGGGCTGGCCCCATTCATGACAGCCAGATGCTGCAGGGGAAGGGAACACAGCTCAGAGGCCCCCATCCCCAGGCCAGCGCCCTCTGCCCACATAGACACCAAAGGCGTGCCTGCTCAACAATGCCCCCCACAGACACACAGATGCACCCTGGGAGGGCCTAGAGAGAAGGACACACTTCTAAGCACTGCTGCCCAGCCCTGAGCTGGACCCTCCGCCCCTCCGAGCCTGTACACTGGATGAGCATGTCCTGCCTGTCTCCCTTCGAGCTGCACTAATGGAGCACAAACCACCTCCCAGGCCCCGGAAGGCGGGCCAGCTGTGCAAGACTATTGGAAGCTGGGGGGTGAGCTTTCCTGCAAGATGACATCATCCTATCCTCCAACAGCTCTACTGGGAGGGCCTGGACTGCTGACCCACTTTGCAGATGGTCAGGCTCAGTCCCTAGCAGACACCTATGCACCCAGCACGCTGCACCCTGTGGGCGCCACTGCCCTGCCAACCACACAGCCCAGCCTGGCTCCCGAAGAGCAGGGAGGGGTTGGGGTGGGGGATGGGAGTGAGGGGAACACTCTGGGCTTAAGTAGGAGAGGACATCCTTTACAGTCCTCTCAGCTCCGATGCCAACCTCGCCAACCTCCAACCAGCCAGGCCTGGCCTTCTGGGCAATTTCAGACCCCTGTTGCTTCTGGAGAGAAGCTGAGCTTTGCTCTCTGCAGGCCCCTCCCTCTCCCCTTCCAGGTCAAGCCCCCTTGAAAGCGCTCTCCCCAGGCTGGGGTGGGACCCACCTCCCCCTCTTCCAGTGCCTGGCTGGGCTTCCTGCCTTGGGCCCACTGGCACTTTCTCCCATTCTCTCCCACTGGCCCACCCACCTTTCTCAGAGACTGGTCTTCAGAGGCCAGCTCTGGGTGGGACCCTTACCTGCTGCCCAGGCACCCTGGTCCTGTAGAGCCATGTACCACCACCCAGGGCCCCAGGGATTGTATTTCCTCGCTCTCTCGTGCACTAGGAAGGACAAGGGCTGGGATGGTGGAAGGAGGAAATGGCTGGTGTGAGGACCCAGGAGACAGCCTGCCCAGCCCTCTTATTCTTTTCCTTTACCTTTCGAGTTAGCCCCAACCCGAGACAACCTCCTGAACCACAGCCCACTCCTAGGCTAGCACTCAAGATTGGCTGTCAGTCAAACTGGGTCTTTTGGGAGGACGGGTTCTCAGTAGAGTGCCAGGCCTTTCTTCCTAGCCTTTCTTAATCAGGAAGCTCCCCTGAACCCTGTTAGGCATCATCATAACAGGTGATGGGTGGGCAGTGGCTACAGGTGAACCTAGTGGTCCCGCATATACCGCAGCCTTCTGTCCCCAAATCCTCCATACCCCCAACCTCACCATTTAGGGGCTCTAAAAGCAGGTCCCTGGTGGATCTGAATTCATGTGCTGCAGCGCGGTTGGCAGTTACTTTCCCTAAAGTTTCGGTCTTGCCCAGAGGCCCCAGTAGCCCTTGCACCCAGGTTGGCTCCAGCCCATACCCTCCGTCTGGCTGCCCACTACTCTTGTGTCCACAGCCTCCCCCAGGCTCCTCAAAAGCCCGGGAAGAGCGCCTAGACTCCCTCAAGAGGCCCTGCCCTATTCTGTGTCTGGGCAGCTGGGGCCTGCCAAGGAGCTCCAGTGACCCTTACAAGCCCACGCCCATCATCTCAAGTGGGCTTCTAAAAGGGGCCCCAGCTTCTGGGGGGTGACTGCAGTGCCCTCGCTGGCAGAGATCCCAGACCCTCCACTAAAGAGGGGGCCCTGCGAGCATCTTCACCATCCCCGCCCGGGAGCAGCCGGGCCAGGCCAGAGGCAGCCAGTGAGGTCAGCACCCTCTCCTAGCTGGGCGAACTGTGGACAAGGGGAAAGTATCGGGCAGACCCCCTCCTCCACCTGCAGTGCTGCCCCGGCTTCAGGGAACAAGGGCCCTCACCCCTCAAGGGAGGTCCCTGTGGCCAGGCCTGCTTATCAGCTTCGACTTCACCCTCACCGCCCTCTCCTCGCTCCTGATGACGGGTGTAGGGAAATTGAGGACTAGAGACGTGTGCCATCTGCCCAGAGCTCGCAAAGCAAAGCAAGGCAAGACGGACCCACTGCCGTCAAGCTTGTTCTGACTCAGAGCAAGCCGGAGAAAGTAGAACTGCCCCATGGTTTCTGCTGCTGGTGGTTTCGAACTGCTGGCCTTGAGATTTGAAGCCCAATGTACAACCCACTGTGCTATGTGGGCTCCAGAGCTCCTGGATAATCAGGACAAACGCAAAGCCTGGCTCCAGAGCTGGCATTCCTCATGCCACATGGGGCATGCCCCCTGCCTGGCACCCTGAACTAAGTGGACTGCCAAGCAGGGTAGCAGGCAGGGTAGCAGGGTCCCATGGCCACATCAGTGACGAGCTCGTTGGCCTATGAAACCTAACACCTGGAGGCGAGGGACCACGTGCCCTTTCCCCCAACACACGCAAGCCTTCTCCCTGACACGCTGGAAGCCCTGAGCATTGCGTGCAGCATTTTGTAGTCTCAGGGGGAATGTGCGCTTAGATCTCCATCAGGTTCCTAGAGGGATACATGACCCAAAAAAGGGTAGGGACACAAACTGTTCTGCAATTGATTAGACAAGGCCCAGCCATGTCTGCCAGCCTCACCTTTGCTGCCAGGGCCAAACTCAGGCTACCTCTCCCTGGAATTTGGCCCCTGAGCTGGTCCCTCAGAGCGCCAGGCTCTGTGTGGCAGGGCTGGGGTGGCCCCTAGAGACTCTTCCCTGCCAATTGCCCCCACCGCACCCAGTCTTCAATGACACACAGATCCTCTTGGGGCAAAACATCACTTTTGCTCTCCCTTCGAGTGCCTGAGTCACAGCTCAACTCCATTCCACGGTGCTGTGTGACGCAGTCTTGCCCGCACCAGCTGTAGCTGGACCCTGATAGCAGCTCCCAGTTCATCGGGGGAATCCTTGGGGTCCATGTGGGCACCGGGGGCCCACTAGAGGAAGGAGCCATGGCGAAGCCCATAGGAGACACCCTCAGTCCTCCAGAGCAGCCCACCCCAGCAGAGACATATACTCAGAACAGCCGGAAGTCTGCAGACTGAGGGAGCAGACGTCTGCGCACATGGGTGTGTGTCCATATGAGGGAGCTGGTGTGTGCCTATAATTCTGGGTAGTGTGTGTGTGTTTGTGCAGGCAGCCTACTTGTGCACAGCCATAGGCCTACTGCCCACACATATGCAGATATCCAGCCTGAGCTCACACATGCTGACAGAACCCACACTCCCACACAAGCAAGTGGGCCCAGGCCTCGCCATGTATGTGTGTACACACACGCATGTAGTCTGTATGCGCACCCGTCCTCACACCGAGGAGGGTGTGCCCAGTCTGCATACACGCACACAGACACGTATATCCTCACACTGATGCACATTAGCACACAGCACGCTTGCACGCACCTCCAGGTCCCTGACCTGTCATCCCCAGGCACACACAGGGACACGTGTCCACCCTCTCACTCCATGCATGCCAGCCAATGTCAGCACCCCCCCCCCCGTGACATGTGGGTACATGCACCCATGCAGGGCCACTTGCAGTTGCAGATCCCACACATGAAGCACACACTACTACCTCCTATTGGCACACATGCACGAACACTTGCATGTCTTCTGAATGCACACAGCCAGGCCTCGCACATCACACATCAACCCCCACCAAAACGCACGCTCGGGAACCTCACTCCAGCACACACCTGAGGACAGGGCCCCTCTCTCCTGCACCTCGCTGCTGCGACAGCAGGAGCCAACCCACGGACAAGCTCCGCCTCCAAACTGCACTCCAGCCCTTGATCCATACCAGGATGTTGCTCTCCACGCCTAGCTAGGGCAGCCAGGATCCCTTCCCTGACACACACACTCCCCAGCCTGCTGGGATACCCCAAGGGGTTCCCCTGTCCTCGTCCTCCCACCCTCCTCTCCACCAGCAGTCATCAGAGGCAGAAATGAGCTCCAGGGCTGGACAACTTTGCAAAAGGACCAGAGAGGAGCCACCCTTTGTGCCACTAGTCCCCTAAGGCAGTGGTGGCCCTTAGCTTGCCTGATGGCCCCTCTCCATGTTCCAAGACTAGGAAGCCTCCGGTATTAACCCATGCTGTACCCATGCCCTCAATGCTGGCCGGAGCTGGGATGGGAGGTGCGCACAGGGAGAGGCCGGGAACTCTGCACTGGGTGCAGGCGTAAAGTCATGAAAGACTGCCTGGAAGGAGTGAGCTTTCTGTCCTTGGAGGAATCCAAGTTGAGGCCAGATGGCCACCTCCAGAGAAACGGAACGGGGAAGCCCCCCTTTTCCCCTGAGTTTCTGAGAGTCTGAGTGTGCTCAGGTCACATGGACTTGGGGGTTCATGTATCCTGGCATGCACATCCACCCCTCCACTCCCCACCCCCACCCCCACACACGCACTCAACCGCCTGGCTGACCTCAGCACATTGTGCCCTGCAAACATCCGCGTGCCCTGCTCTGGGCGCCCTGGGCACCAGCAAGTGCCCAAGCGCAGGCATGCACTTGCATGCCGAGCACTGCAGGCACGTGCTCCCCTCCCGCTGCGCTGACCCCTGGGCATCTCCAGGACTCCCCGAGGCGCAACTCACTTCCCCAGTTCCTCGAAGAGCTGGTACTCCTCCGTGAAGCGGGTGCAGGTGATGGTGGCCATCCTGGAGCTGGGCGGGCAGGCGAGGTTCGGGGCTGCGCCGGGACTGGGGCGCCGCTGCTCTGCTCCTGGAACGAGGTGCCTCTCGCCTGCCCGTGCTGCCGCGCACTAACCGAGAGCGGGCTTGACTGACGAGCCCCGGGCTTCTGAACAGGGCACTGTGGCTGCTCACAGCCTCGCGAGCCTTCGTCAGCATCCAGGTCCCCATGGCAACCACCTCCGAAACGCCCTGTTCCCGTTGCCCCGGTAACTGCCTCCCCAACACCTGCCTGCCTTCCACTGCAAAACCTGCTCCTCCTGGTCGCCCTTGCCCTGCTGCGCCCCAAACCACAGGCCTGTGTGGGCCGGGGGCCGTGGGCCCAGTGCCCCCCGGGGGAGGGGTGTGGCTGGCCAGGGAAGGGGCGGGAGTTCAGGAGGAGAACAAACTTAGTCCGCAAGTGATCTTCGCTCTTCCCACCTCCCCCATCCCCAACCGCAGGGCCCTTAGAGCAACCAGGATGGGATTAAGTGGGGCAAAAAAGCGGTTGCCATGGTAACCTCCAATGGGTGCCTCATTCTGGGATGGTCCCCGGAAAGACAGGATACAGTTACCCTGGCAACATCATCTCCCATAGAGAGACAGGTATTGCCCCGTTGCCTTGGCAACAGCTGGAATCAGGTTTACAGAGAAATGTTGGCTAACTTGCAGGGATACCTCTGTCCCCTGTGATCACTGTAGT